TCCAGTCCCGGCTCCGGGAGGGCCCCATTCCCGGCTCCAGGAGAACCCCATTCCCGGCTCCGGGAATGCCCCATTCCCGGCTCCCACCTCTTCTCCGTCAGCGCCGTCCGGCTGAAGTGCAGGATGAGCTGGTGCAGCGGGTCCGGCTTCTTGTCCGGCTCCTCTTCCTCCTCCTCCTCCTCCTCGCCCGGCTTCTGCGGGGACAACGGGACACGCGGGCCGGGTGACGGGGACACCCCGGGTGACGGGGACGTCCCCAAGGGGACCGGGGGACTCACGGACAGGTCGTCGATCATGCGGTCCTCGAAGGGGTGCTCCTCGGTCACCAGCCACAGCAGCTTGTAGGCCTCCAGGAACATGTTGCAGGCCCGGTGCCTGCGGGGACAGGGACGTCACCGCCACGGGTTGGGGTCCGGTTTGGGGTTAGGGGGTGAGGACGGGCGGCGGGGTGGCCCCATGGGGCCTCCGCTTGGGCCAAGGAGGCTCCCGGTGGCCTCCAGGGGCTTCCAAGGGGTCCCAGTGGCCCTCAAGGGGATCCAGTTGGGCCAAGGAGGCTCCCGGTGGCCTCCAGGGGCTTCCAAGGGGTCCCCAGATGTCCCCTGGGGCTTCCAAGGGGTCCCCAGAGCCCCCCAAGGGTCCTCAGGGCCCCGTTTGGGCCAAGGAGGCTCCCGGTGGCCTCCAGGGGCTTCCAAGGGGTCCCCAGTGCCCCCCGGGGCTCCCAGTGCCCCCAAAGGGTCCTCAGGGGATCCGCTTGGGCCAAGGAGCCTCCCGGTGGCCTCCAGGGGCTTCCAAGGGGTCCCCAGTGCCCCCCAAGGGTCCCCATGGGGCCTCCGCTTGGGCCAAGGAGGTTCCTGGTTATCTCCAGGGGTTTCCAAGGGGTCCCCAGTGCCCCTCAAGGGTCCTCAGGGGACCCAGTTGGGCCAAGGAGGCTCCCGGTGGCCTCCCAGGGCTTCCAAGGGGTCCCCAGATGCCCCCTGAGGCTTCCAGTGCCCCCTAAGTGTCCCCATGGGGCCTCCATTTGGGCCAAGGAGCCTCCCGGTGGCCTCCAGGGGCTTCCAAGGGGTCCCCAGATGCCCCCTGGGGCTCCCAGTGCCCCCCAAGGGTCCCCAGGGGATCCGCTTGGGCCAAGGAGGCTCTTGGTGGCCTCCAGAGGCTTCCAAGGGGTCCCCAGATGCCCCCTGGGGCTCCCAGTGCCCCCCAAGGGTCCTCATGGGGTTCCGGGCGTCCCCCGTGTCCCACCTGGGCAGGTTGTAGAGGGGCGTCATGCGGAAGCAGGCCACCACGGCGCGCCGGCGCTGCTTGGACAGCAGCTTGTGCCACACGGCCTTCTTGGACTTGTAGGGGTGCTCCGTCTGCGGGGACACCGGCATCACCGGGGATCCTCGGGAGCTCCCCAGCACCTCGAGGACCCCCCGGATCCCATCCGGGAGCCTCCCGATTCCACGGATCGTCCCGATGGAGCGCCCGGACGCCGACCTGCTCCAGGTGGTAGAGCACGGCCGACACCTCCTGCACCCTACGGACAATCTTGTCGGGGCTGTCCGAGTCCTCGGCCTTCCCGGCCATCTCGCGGTACAGGGCCATCTGCCACCGCATGGACGAGGAGTTCTCGCACTACGGGGACAAGGGGACACGGTGAGCGCAGGGACACGGGGACCACGGTAGGAGCACACACAGACACTGAGAGGACACGGGAGGACATGGAAGGACCATGGTGGGGATGAAGGGGGCTGCGGGAGGAGAACGGGGGACATTGGAGCAGAGATGGGGACATTTATGGGATCTACGGTGGGATGCGGGGAGGGTTGGGGACATGGGGGACAGGAGTCACCTTGCCCTGCAGGTGCAGGTTGTTGTGCAGGAACTCCCGCACCTCCTCGTCCGTGTCTTTCTGTGGGGAGGGGAGGACAGGGCCAC